TCAAAAATACAAAACAAAGAGGGATACCATAGAAAACTACAACATCATGACTAGCAGGCAACGGGTGGATAAGAATTGACTGCACCATCACTTTTGGTACAAGAATCAAACCCAAAAAAGACAGAGGAAGCCAGGTTCATATCCAAGAAAAGGAGGCAGTTTCTCATGCAGCAGGGTATAAACTTGCACAAATCCTTGCCAAAGGACATTGTGGATGCACAAAGATTACATGGATTCTGGAAGAGAGTAAATATTTAATTGGAAGGCACACTTCAAGGAATACTAAATAGAGAAACCACATCAGCCACATAAAATCCCTTGAGCTGAAAATAGTTGGAGTGTAGGAGAGTAATCAAGGGAAATATTACACTCTCCCTTTTCCTGTTCTTCTCCGGGTATCCACTTCCTGCCACTGCTGGAGGGAGGCTATTGGGTTAGATGGACCCTGAATCCAAACGAGTTTGATTCTTCTTATGTTCTGTTCTTAGGTGAAACTGCTTACGTGTGATATGTGTCTTTTAATCCTTGTAATTCAAGTACCACTTTGGAAGAGATTTCTCTTAGCTATGGTTCGTTTCTCATCATCTGTCCCATCTCTTATTTGTGTTATGACAGTTACAAAGATCTCATTTGGGACTAAGACCTTGTGATGCCAAATGATTTTCAAACATGTATGCTGCAAGAACTCACAGTTAAGAAATGAGAAGCTCTAAAAAACTTCACAGGTATCTCTGTCTGCTGTAGAACCAAAGACTATATATATAAATATATATGAGAGAAACATGCAAATTGTTACCAATTGCTAGTTGCTACCTTAAGAAATGAGGGAGGGAGATAATTGCAAATGTTAGCAAAAATGGTTTTTATCACACCATCAGGTGTTTAAAGATGCAGCCTTTCCTCTAAGCTAGTCATCTAGGTTTTCTCTACAGTAAGTAGGGGAGAGGGAGGTGCAGAGTGAGCCTAGACGATTAGCTTAGGCTTGATGCTGAACTTTTACATAGCTAAAGCTATGCCAGAAGAATACAGCCTTGCATGGCCTGGCTAAAGCAATTTTTAAATTATCTATCTGTACAGAATAAGTAACTGCCAGGAGTTTCCTGACCATTTGACTCTCAGAAATGCTAGACAGTTATTATCAGAGAAGTCTACCTGTGAATAAAGGCAAAAGCTTTTCAGTAAGAGCAAAATTTTTAAATTTAATGAAAAGATATTTAATTATTACAAGCAGGTAGCAGCACAGCACACATGGCAATGTGTGGGTCATACAGTTTGAGTGTGTAGAGCGGAGACTATCCAATTAGCTACATTACCATGTGACCAACATACTCAATTTGTGCAACTAACTTAATTACGGTGAAGATAAGGTTTTAAAGTCCCCTTTTCTAATAAATGCCTACCTTTGTTCCCAGCTATTAAGGGGAGTTTCTTTGTTAGTTCAGGCTTATCCTTAAATGATACAGGTCAGTCACTACTTAGGAAACGTATGCTTTGCTCAAATATGAAACACCTGAAGAATATGAACACCTTGGAAATTTATTTTTCTACTTCAAAATTTAGAAATGCCCAAGGTCCTTTCTCCTTTTCAGTATGAAGCCCTAGGTAATTCTCCATAATAAACATGACTATATTTTTGGCTACTAAATAAAGTTATCCACTCACACATATGCAGCACTCCTTTTTCACCTTATTATTATTTCATTCATCAAATGTATTATATTCCATATGAAATTTTCAAAAGCTCAGTCAAATGACCATCGATCCTCTTTTACAGAAAAAAGTCGTACCTCTGCTGTAAGTATATACAGCTGTAATAGTAGTGTTTATCATGTAACAATTAATTTTACCACAGATTTCTACTCCTAATTCCATGCCTTTAACTAATTTTTTTAATAGCTGGAAGATCTTATTTATATAATGCATAATTATTTTCCTGCTTACTTTTGTACTAAAATGAGTAAGCCAAGTTTTTAAAACATGGACAAAAAAAGTCACACTTCTAAAGAGAGACTAGCTGCGGGAAATTTCAGCCCAAACACTAAACTTGAATGGCTGAGAACAAAGAGAATAGAAAATACTGCAACTTTTTTATAGCTTTTGGTGATATTCATGCTATAACTATTAAGTAGTTTGCGTAGTTTCTTTTGCTCTGCTTATTGTAAGTGAGGAAATAATGGTTTCAGTTGAATATCTTCATCAGAAACTGCATTCATCATGCTAAGTATGCCCCATGAAGACTCTGAATGTTTAATTCTCACTGCCACACTAAACTGAAGGTATAACACAATATACAATTCATTAAGAACTTAAGAAATGCAGAAAATATTTATTCTTGAATGATGTAATTAGGATATCTGTGCTATCAGCTGGATGTTATAGCCTCATGCAGTTATTGGAACATTAGACATGCTGTCCAAGATCAAGAAGAATTGTGCTCTGTCTTTAAAAGGGTTTAATTTATTATTGATTAGTCACACCAAAAGGTCACTACCGGCACTACAAAAGTGTGCATAATAAATAGGATTTGGAACTGCTAAACTAAGCAAACATCTAAGTGGTGTTTTCAGGGCACATTGCACGAGCCGCTGCCAGGATTCAGACAGAATCCTTGGGAAATCTCTTCTGTCTGTCACTGCTACTGTCCAGACTTCTTTTTTCTTGATATTTTTCTAGAACAACCACTATGTTGTCATCAGGGCAGCGTGCAACCTGATTGTAACTTCTGAGGAAAGCTGGGGGGATAAATTCTTACTGTACAATACAGAAAACAAAGGAATCATGGTAAGTACAGCATAATCATAGTAAAACCAAAAGCCATTCTTTCAGTGAAATTCAATTCTTATTCCATGGTTTTAATGGCTCATTAGTTTTTGAAATTTTCCATGCTTGATCTCTCCCCAGAAGTTATTTTTGTTTTTTATGCTTGACCAAATTTGCCTTGCTATTCTTAATATGAAAAAATAGAGAAAGAGAGAAAGAGAGAGAGAAAGAAAGAGGAAAAAAGAAAAAGAAAGAAAAAAACAAAAGAGAAAGAGGAAGGAAGGAAGGAGGGAAGGAGAATAGATGGAAGGCAAAGAAAGAAAATTAGTGGTGCATTTGAAAATTGTTGCCAGTAAAAGATCTTGCACTAGAATTTACAGAGAAATACTTTCCTTAAAAGAGTATATAGATTAAACTTTTTTTCTGATGTCTGTCACTGCCAAGTCTGTACATACATCCACTTTCTTAAGAGGCCAAGATTCATGTTTTGACTGTTGCTATACTCTAGGGATAGTTTCTGGGCTTTCTTTTTCTCTCCTACGTGACAGATTTTTATGGTACATTCTCCTCTTGTTTTCTCATATGATATTTCAAAAGACACCAAGGGCAGCTCAGGGTAAATTGACAGAGGCAGTGCAAAACCCAGAGCCCTCCATCTCCTCTACAAAACACTTACAAATCCACAATATAATAATAAAGAGAGAACTCTGGGGCTACCTCTACGTTAGGGAATTAAATGGGCCCAGGCACTGGAATTCAATCATCTAAACTGTTAAACTGTGAACAGTCACGGTTTGGTCTGATTTTGACTTGGACCATCTAGCACTGACCCAACAATTTTGGGCATTGTTCACTATTTCCAATTGGCATTTTGTAGGGAGGGAGGCCACTATGAGACTTTAATAACATGGACACGGTCAAACTGTGCCAGCTGGCCTCAGAGCCTGTGAACAGGCATGGCATTATTTCTTATAGATATAGCTTTAATATGCCAACTATTTTAAATATGGAATTTGATTGGGTTTGGAATTGGATTATATGATATGTTTCCTTTTCACAACAAAGATCTGGATTCAACAGTGCAGACCATCCCCTACAGACTTATGTTCTTATTATTCTGCAAACCTTGCTAAAAAAGAATAAACCCTCACATATCTTTCCAAAAGTAAAGATGTCATCCTGTGCTCTGTAGGGAGTTAAAAGTACAGATGTCGTCCCCCACTCTGTTGGGAGTTATATATGCACATATTCAGCACCATCCCTCTCATGGCAGGGATATTAAAAGGCACTACTTGGTGTCACTGAAAATTACACAGGATTCATCACACTCCTCCTCTTTTTTCCCCTTTTCTTGTTTCTTTTCTTTTCCTTGTTTATGCCTTCTCCTCTCTTTCAACTTTGTTTTTTACCTCTGCTTTTTTCTCCTCCCTTCAGTGGAATATATCGGCCAACTGACAACACAAAATAACATCCCTGAATAGGTTAGGCATGAGTACCACCCAACAGAAGATAGTCAGATCTGTATTTCCATTAAGTAGGTAGCTCTGTTTCAGCGAGATGAACCTTGCCTTCCTCCCATACAAACACCTTATGAAAGAAAATTCCAACTGCTTCCACACAACAGAAAATAATAATTAAAGAAAAAAAACAGAATACAGATTGGATTTTTAATAAAACAGATGGTTTTGATGGATTGTACCTCATATTATTATTTTCAGCTTCCTGGTCTCAAGTAAAGACCTTCTTAGCCAAGGATGCTGCCTCATCGAATAATATAAATCAGCTCTCCCTTGACTGGTGGCTTTCATTGCTCTCACCTGTACTGATATTCTAGTTAGCAAGAAGGGAGTGTAGAACAAAGCTTTCATTCAAGGACATTCTAGTCTGATCTCTCTCTATTTTAAAGAATGACAGAAGAGGAAGAGGGTAAAGAGAAATCTGAGCAACATGTAACCTGAGGTTAGCCTCAACAACTAAGAATGGGATTTCACTCTCTGTTACATCCTCGTGTGGCAATGACTGACAGACTGGTTCAGAGCAGGGTGTGAAGATGTGTATTTCTTTGTATCAATCCAATCTAACACAAAGCTCATTCTCCTGGTCATTTAATGACCAGGCAGGTGATCAAATGCGATTAAAATATTACCGAATAGAAACAGAAATAGCATTTTAACATAGAAACAGCAAAGACATGAAAGCTTTGCATACCATGAAGAACTGCTCGGACGCTTCAATCTTACCTCCCTAAGGGGATCATTGAGCTCATTAAGAATATTTTCTTCATCAAAAATCTTGCCTTGGTAGCGGTGCTCGTAGTAATCGTGGATCTTCTGGCGCATTTCAGCAGGTAACTTGTGGAATGACATGTACTGTTCCACTTGTTTGTACTATTAGGAAAATAAAAAGAAAAATCAGAAAACAGAAAAACTTTTTAGTTTTTCTACAGGCATCTACAAAATGCAAGTTCATTCATGCATCCATTTAAGAAATGCAAATTTCAAAACCTTTCTAATATATCCAGAATTCAGAACGTTCAAGAAAGTCAGGAAACAGCAAAGTCAAGTTTGCTGATTTCAAACACGAACACCTAGAAATACTGTTACATGTTTGATAAGGTGCAATATAAAAACAAATCTATCAGAAAGCCATTTCAGAAGATTACAACAAAAGGAGAAACAGTTGCAATATGCACAGTATGCAGAAGTGTGAGAAGAGGATAGCTATAGGGAATTTCATGAAACCAAGAAATTAAGTAAATAGAAACTTTTCCTATTACTATAAAATTTCCATTCTAAACAAATGTAATATAACCAGTTGGTTTATAGTAAGGAGTATAACCTATGTTATCAGGACTTTGGGTTTGCAAAAGCAACATTAATGAGACAGATCTGCTTGAACATTTTGGTGGTAAATGGCAATTATCAGTGCTGAACACTTATAAAGATAACTTTATATATATACATCAGAGGACCCTTACAAAAAGGTCAGTTACTTTAGTATTACTTTTGCTCAGGTAGCAACACAACAACCGAAAATAATGGAAATCACTTTTAGTGGTGATGGTAATAACCACATTAATATATATGAGTCTTAGAAGCCAAACCCTCACACTTGTCATGTGTTCCCTAAATTCCCAGCTATATACAGTTCTAAAACTATATAAACACCATTTTTAGCTCATTACAGGCAGCAGACAAGGAAACTGAATATGATGTTTATCTACTTCTCTAGTACTGCATTCAGAGTTTAAAGTGTGAAATTTCAAGAAACAAGTATGTTTTGTTAAGGTTATTTATAAGAACAACATTAAAATCTATGTAGTTAACAATGTAGAAAGCACTCCCTCAGGAGAATGAGGGGAAGATAGAGGTAAGTGCTGAAAACTAGGCATGGCATTAAGAAAAAAAAACGTGGGGTAAAACAGAGATGACAGGACCCAAGAGAGTCAGAGAACCCCACTCTATTTGCCTCACCCGTGTTATGCTTCCTTGTCTGTACCAGTCTTCTGCCCTGTCTCCTGTTTTGTTTGCTCCCAAAGCTGCTGGCCTGCTTCAGAAGACCTCTTGAAAAGCACAATTTGCAGAAAAGATAGCCCCAAGCTAACATACACAGAGTTGTACTGTACAGTACAACACAAATTGTATGATATATCTGAGATCCAGAAAATGGAGAACTGCAAAATGGAGAACTTAACTGCAAATTGAGAAATACCACCCGAACAAGAATTTTGCCTCGCAGTCCCCCCCATCTGTGACTCACTCAAAGGAGATAAGGTACTGAGATGTAGAAAAAGAAAATCCCTTCCAGGCTTACAGGTGAGTTAAAGCTTGGCAGACACTTAGTTCCCTTATGTAAACAGTCTTCATCTAATTTTTTTTTTCCATGCTTAATTAGGCAATTTCAAGTCTGTTTTCAATAAAGAAACCAATGAAGCCTTAATTAGGATCAGCATCTCTGTAGAGCAATTAAATGAATTTATAATGTACATGCAGTCTTTATGAACTGTAGCAGAGATCTTTAAACTTGTATAATTGAAGGCTATTGAGTCCTCTGGAATTAAGATTAGTTTTTGCTTTGCAAAGTGGCATAAGATTAGGTGGAGCCATATGTACAACATGCATTCCCTAAATGAGAAGAAAGTAATTTTGCATGAGACTAACTATTTAACAATGTATTAGGAGTACATAAACCTGGTTTAACCTGTACTGCCATTTTGCACGTCTAAAGCAAGAACTCTTCCCCCTACTTTAAAAGTAAGATTTAAATTTGTGAGCTCATCATTGGTTTCTGCTCTGATAAGGAGAAATTTAACCATACATGCTGTGTGTATGGTTACACAGAATGGCAGTTCTGGGACTCCAGAAGACAGTCATGTCTTAGCATAAACAACGTTATCGCTTCTAAAATTATGCAGCTAAACTAGGCATGGATTTACTTGGAGGGAAGGGATTTTAGATGTCCCAGTACTCTTTATTATCTCACTGAGGTGGTGAAAAAAATCCCAGAAAATGTGCAGTGCTCTGGCTTTTCTGCAGCTTCTTCAAACCAAAGCCAAAGAGAAGATGCTGCACTGCACAATGCCTACTTCATGCTTGTGTCCGGCCTTCCATTGCTGAAGGACAAGTAGTATATCATGTGGAGTAACACAAGGGCACAACCGGATGAATGAGAAGGTAAAGACTGCAATATGCTCCTTCACACAGGAGCTCCACCCCTCTACCCTAATTTATTTGCATTCTGATATGCTTGAGCAATGCTTAAAAAGAATAATCTTTGTTAATCAAAAATATACATTAATCTGAGATATACAGGATATACTGCAAGAGTTGCAAAGGACTTTCATATCAAAATAACCTTGAGGAAGAACTGCTAAAAGCAATTTGCTATTTGAATAGGTGCTTGCTCTCACACAGCCTAGCTCTTTTCTCTACCAGAGATTATGCTTGCATAAGAGAATTTTAGGGAAACAGAAATAATAAGAATAATATGAATCCAGTGCCTTTTACTACTGGGTCTCAAAAATGTTTCCAAATTAATAGCACATGGAACAATAGGGACTTCTGTTTATAAGCAACATTTGTTTTCCATTCTACAACTAGGAAGTTGTTCCCAGAAATATTTACCTATCTGAAATACTATCAAGGTCTCTTTCTATGTCCAAATCCGACCCTGTGAGTGTACAGTATACTATCACTACCGTTCTGAAAAGAATCTTTGCCTAATCGTTTTCAGTGTGATTTCTTTACGTTCTACCACAGTACTAATGTAAGGTGTTTCCTCAAAAGCTTTTAACTTGTTCTTTTCTTTTCAGCAACTGATATCTGTCACTAACTAAATCCCAGTCATGATTGCTTTTTAGTTCTAGAATACTAAGCACATTTAATGTTATTCAACATATTGTATGTTGTTGACAATACTGAGGATTTGCCAGCTTAGCTGTCACTAAGTGTGTGTGGTATCTCACTCACTAGTAGCAAAGCATGTGCTAAAATGAAGATACAAAGATAGCGCAAAATTAATATGGTTTTGTTCATTCTGGGTAATAAAATGTCCATTTGTTTAAAGCTAATTTTGAAGAAATCTTTCTTACTAGGTACCATTGACACTAAAAACATTAGATGTGGAGACATTTTTACTTTTAAATATTTATTCTGCTTTTTCATGATCTTTTTCATTTCAAATTCAATGTCAAAAAAGATTTAAAAATTCTCACTAGCACCATGAACTCTTTAAATAAATATGAAAATTCAATCACTCCTCATGGTTTGTCTGAGCAAGATTTTACATCTAAAGTTGATAATTTGTCAGAGAAATTCAGTGTATTCACAAGTTTTATATTTGAGATCGATTTAAAAGACCTATGCCTGATTCCAAATCACCCATGAGACCTGACACTTGAACCTGGGTCTTCATATGTGAATGGAATCATTTGTCACTAATGACTCTTCTTCTCACACTGCATCTTTTCCCTCCCAGACTGAAAATTTTGTTTTGCTTGGATTTTTTTGTTTTAGTTTATTCAGGAAAGTGACATCTTAATTACCCATTTGCAGAAGTGCCTCAAGCCCTTTTTTTACTCTTATGTGAAATAATTTCAATACCACAGCAAGTTCCCTCAAAACTGACAATACTTTCTTCTTTTGGCTTTTCTCATGCTACATGGGAACCTCCAGTCACTGGAAAGACAACATTAAACATCTAAATGATTGTGTTAAATCTTTTTTATTCTTTAATCTTAAGTTGCCTTTTCAGCCTTGCTCCTACCTGACACTGCAGAGAACTAGATTCTCCAGGGAGTAAGAAGTAAGGGATTCTGCATATGCAGATTTCCCAGGTAGACTCTGCTTCACATTCTTTAGAAATGGGATGTTAGAGGCCTCAAAAGGCAGGGATGAACTCTACCTTTGATTCCAGGGTACTGAGGAGAGAAATAAGAGGCATCCAGGCTCTTCAGCAGAGCCTGTGCTCCATGAAGACATGCCAAGACAAAAGAAAGGTAGGACAAACCTTTTAAAATGAGAATCATTGTTTGGTCTAATATTACTACATCCAAGCATGGGTAAAACTGTAAGTGTGGTCCAGTTAATTTCAGTATGTTTTATTGAAATCAAATGATTTCAGACTGCTTTAAAAAAACTCTTAATGCACAATTATGTAACTGACCGCTATAAATCAGAAGATTGTCATCTTTATTTCTTTTCCCTGACTCAGTTGGCTCATACGCCAAAGTATGGAGATCAGAAGCCTTATATATTCTACTTTATGCAATTTGAAATGCTTTTATTACCCATATAAATACCTATTTTTGTATCCCACTGTGCTTCTATAGTATCTTGCCTCATTAAATTCTACATATTTTTTGCATGTACAAAGAGCGTATTTTTTTAGTACTTTAGTTTTCCTGTCTCATACTTTTGTCTTATACTTTGGGAAAAAAAAAAAACCCACAGTATTTTGGAATGCTGTGTTTTGGACCTGTTACAAACAAGCATTCCTGTATTTTCAGTATCTCACTGAACGGAAGAAATACTATTCTTCTGACCACAGCTCTCTTTTTTTAGGTGAATACTGAACCGTTTGTCCTAAAATGAGTATGTAAACTAATTTGATTTATATATTATGCTACTATCATTTAAGAAATTTCTATCCCAGTGTTTCATATTCCTCACTAAAATTCAAATGTTCATAAATGCGGCACAATTAACAAATAAAATTGCCAAAATAGGCAAAAGCTAAGTGGATTTCAAAGTTAAATAATATTTCACAATTTTTTACCAAAAGAACTATCCAGTAATAACTGCTTCTTGCTCTCTCAGCCATAAAATGTTCATATGCTTATTGTATTTAGTAAAATTTTGCTCATGTGTTTCTCTAGCAAAAGGTGAGT